CCATATTACCAAGTATATACACTAATGTCTTACTTTACTTGGCAGGACTCTGAACAGCTAAATTCTGTGTTATGATTAATGCATAATGAAATATTTGACATGGGGTGGCTTAAGTGATGTTTCATTTATTTTTGTTTCAATCAGAGTGCAGGCTAAATAAATCCCACATGTACATCAGTGATAACTGACAATAACTAAGACTTTTTTCAGATAAAAACACATCACAGAGCACTCCTCTTCCATTAACCTCCTCTGCTCTATTGTGAATGGCACCAGCTTATCCAAAATTAAATTGGTGCACAAAATTCAATCATTCCTATTATGATATTCCTTGGCTGCCTAACTCATTTTAGTTCATGGGCCATTCATGGGTCATTTTGTATTTAATGAATGAAACAGGTGGTGGACGTTTTGAGAAGTCCTAAGAAAAATATTTATTTCAGTTAAAGTTTTTTATACATTCACACTCATAAGTCAAAGAAACTTGTTCATACAGTTCTAGAAGAAGGCTTACGATAATGACCTCTTGGTCACTTAAAGTGAAAAGTATTGGTTTCTGGTGCAAAATAAAGTAAAAGTCAAAAAATTATGCCTTGTTCCTCTGTAATTTTTATAGTGTAAAACGAACTCCAGTGGGTTGGATTGCCACAGTTCAGCAAACCTATGTTTGACACTGCTGGTGTAATATTCTGCCATGGTACAGTAAGATTTACTAAGTGTGTGAAAATTAGCTTGATGTTGCAATCACAAATATGTGCTGAAAGTAAATTTGGGGGTCAAAAATGAGCAGACTTGATAAGGGAGTGAGTAAGATTATATACATAATACAGTGTAAGAGCAATCTTTAATATATTGAGAATCAATGTTTTTCGTATAAATGCAAACTTTTCTGCTAGAAATTGTTTGGGACTATGTGCGGTAGAATAGTTGAGATAGCTGTTCATTCAATAAATCTGACAGGTCAGGTGGAACATAGGGTTTATGCACACAGTATTGCCTTGTATTGCATATAATAGCACTGTGTGCACACTGCTGAGAGAAAAGACGCAGAGATTTTTGTATAGAAATGGGACTAAAAATCTGAAACACTACAAACCAGTCATTCGCTGCAAGAAGTGTCTTGACTTTCTTGTTCAAGTAAGTTCTCTCTTTCATGAATATAAGTGTTGCTGTAGACCAAATATATTTGGTGCTCAACTCTAAACATTCAGGGTGATGACTCAATGAAGACACAGCCAAGTTTTGGAACGCGATCTACAGCTTTGATCATTTTGTCAGTGTCAGTTACACACTTGTTTTGACAGCATCTCCCTCTCAATTCTAAATAAATAAACACTCCCAACAGCACCTATCAC